GGAAGAAAATCTTTCATTTCAGCCACGGCTCTCAGCTGACCTCCAACTGTACCAGCCACTGCAGCAGTGAGGCCCTCCTTCCTCATGACCAGTGTCTCCCCTGGTCTCCCCCTATGACACTCATGGGCTTTCAGGCACAAAGGATTCTCCCATCCAAGCTAGTGTAGTGACCTTGATTATCTGTCAAAACCCCCAACCAAAGGTATAACCCTGTGGTCCCCCAACCCTGCACTACCCCTACACATACTCCATGGATGGGTCTCTGCCGCTGTGATACCCCCCCCAAAATCTCTCCCTTTATCCTTCCCCTTTCAGGAGTCATGCCCCCATGAACCCTAAAGCTTTGCCCCCTCCACAGGATGGCAGAAGGTCCACATTCCAACTCCACCTTCCCATGCCCAACCTTCTTCATACTGACTGGCATTCCAGGTCTAGGGCCTGCCCAGCCTTGGCTGACACTGGTCTTCGGGCCCATGTATCTGTTGGCCCTGCTGGGCAATGGAGCACTGCTGACATTGGTGCAGATAGATTCCACACTGCAGCAGCCCATGTTTCTACTCCTGGCCGCACTGGCAGCCACAGACCTGGGCTTAGCTACATCTATAGCCCCAGGGCTGCTTGCTGTGCTGTGCCTTGGGCCCCGGCCTGTGCCATACAGTGCCTGCCTGGTCCAGATGTTCTTTGTTCATGCACTGACTGCTGTAGAATCTGGTGTACTGCTGGCCATGGCCTGTGATCGTGCCGTGGCAGTAGGGCGTCCACTGCATTACCCTCTCCTAGTCACCAAAGCCCGTGTAGGCTATGCAGTCCTGGCACTGGCACTGAAAGCTGTGGCTATTGTCGTGCCTTTCCCTCTGCTGGTGGCGCGATTTGAGCACTTCCAAGCCAAGACCATAGACCATGCCTACTGTGCACACATGGCGGTGGTAGAACTGGTGGTGGGCAACACACGGGCCAACAATTTGTATGGGCTGGCGCTTTCACTGGCTGTGTCTGGTATAGATATCCTGGGCATCACTGGCTCTTATGGGCTCATTGCTCATGCTGTGCTGCGGCTGCCTACCCAGGAGGCCCGTGCTAAGGCCTTTGGCACATGTAGTTCCCACATATGTGTCATTCTGGCCTTCTATGTACCTGGTCTCTTCTCCTACCTCACACATCGCTTTGGTCGTCACACTGTCCCAAAGCCCGTACACATCCTTCTCTCTAATATCTATTTGCTGCTGCCACCTGCCCTCAACCCACTCATCTATGGGGTCCGCACCAAGCAAATCAGGGACCGACTCCTGGAAATCTTCACATTCAGAAAAAGCCAGTTCTAATGGGCAAAAAAAAAAAAAACAAAAAAACAATGGAGCCTGGTGGTGGAGGTGAAGGAATATTCAGAAGAGTCCAGGGCCTGGAGGTGTGGATTATGTCTTCTTTGTCCCACTGTCTACATATGACTGTGATAATCACTCAATAAATTATTTGCTGTAAAGCCTCTACAACACATATCGCTAGCATCTGCAGACTTTGGTCTATCCACATATCTTGCTTGGGAGGCAGGAGGCAGGGGGCTACATGTTACCATGCAGGAAAATAAAATCAGGAATTACCATGGCTTATAGTACACAAGATTTAACTTAAAGAAAACTTCCTTTCCCACCCCTTCCATTATTTTAACCTAAGTCTGCCCATGTCTCCACACAAAAGCTCCTCTATTGATTCTAGACCTGGGGACCTGGGAAGAGTGAAGCTGCCTCTGGAGGAAAGTGCTTGGGTAGTTTTCTGGGTTCAAAGCCCTCTTCATTCCTGGAACCAGATTCTGTCCTTAGGGAAGAAGTTACAGGCTTATTCCCCACATTCTGAGAATCTGGATAATGTGTCCAGATAGGGGTCCCAAAATTGGCCATTCCTAGTTCAGAGAATCCCCTTGGTTTCATGGGTTAGGGTCTATTTCCCCTACCTCCACTCTCCTGTCAATATCTCAAGAATTAATGGCTAGAACTCTCCCTTAGGAGTCAGAGGTCCAACTTAAAGATTTTGAGGGGCACCTGGGTAGCTCAGTTGGTCAAGCATCAGACTTCAGCTCAGGTCTTGATCCCACAGTTTGTGGGTTTGAGGTCCACATCAGGTTCTGTGCCTCCGTCTCTCTCTGTACCCCACCCCCCACTCATGCTCTCTCAAAAATAAACACTTAAAAAAAATTTTTTAAAGAAATTCTGATATCCCAGGAAATCATTGTAGCCACTTTACCTGCTTGCCTGAGGTCTAGTCACTATGGTCTCTTACCACTTTGCTCTTCTCTGCATCCTCAGCCAAGAGTGTTGAATTCCCAAATAAAATCTACATCAGCACCTCCATTTGGACTGGCCAACATCACTAGAAGCACAGGATGTTGGTATAGGAATATTTCACACTGCTGTGGCTACCAGAGAATAGAGATATTACACATGGTGTAACAGGGGATTGACCTTCGGCTAAGATTACAATGGAAGGGACATTGTGCAAAAGATCTTTCACACCAGCATGGAGCCCAGAATGAATATAATTTCAGACAAAAAGCAGGAATTCACTTTTAGAAGGTCATGGAAAGCTGCAGGCTGTACAGGCAGACCCAAGCTCTTTGGGAAAACTATCATAACTGCAGGTATTGGAGTCAGCCATGAGGACCTGAAGCCAAGTGCAATGCTAACCACTCAGCAAAACAGCTAGACCAAGTACCACGGGAAAGCACACAGAACAGGCGGCTGCAAATCTGAAAAGGCAGGTGACATCTTCTCAGGGCCACATGGGGTCTCACCAGGTCCTCACTAACAAGGAGCTAAAGAGAAAGCCCAGAAGCTCTGCGTGATTTTCAGAGGTGTTGTCACATTGAGAAGATTGACAGTTTTCCTTTGTGGCCTCAGTCATTCCCAAGACTAATCTTTTTCATGAAGTTCTGAGTTAAAAAAATTCCCCAGGCAATGATTTTGTGGATAATTATGACAAAATTCTAATCCTAATTGGAACTGAGTCATTAAGATGTCCATATCCTTCTCTTAGGGATTCCTCTTTGATAAATCTATCCTGACAAAATAATTAGAGATGTGAACAAAGATGTATGCAGTAAGACATTTATTACAACATTATTATAAAGAAATGTACGTGTGACAGTCTTGTGTCACACATACACACGCACACACTTTTTGCCTCTCCCCTCTGGTACACGAAAAAGGGAAATCTCCTATGCAGCCAATGTTCACAAGCAATGAATTCTGTCACCTTCCCACCACAGGAAACCTCTTGTCTAAGGCACCTTCATTCCCTGGTTGTGCACAGCTTCCCAGCGCAGCTGAGTCCAAGGTTGCACATTGTTCATTGCAAGAACTTTCTTCAAGCCAAAAATCCACACCCTTGGACATTAGTATTTTGTCTGGATGGAGAGCACACACATACCTACCATGTGGTGTGTTCAGAAGACTACCAGCAATCCCCTACTCCTCACAAAACCTGAGAGTAATTCTAAGCGCATAATCCCTTATCCACAATTCCAAAATAAAAAAATCCTTGAAGAAACAATGTTTTTTTCATAACTTTGGCCAAAAACCTGACCTGAAACATCACGATGGTATTTATAGTATTTATGTATTTCACTTGGTGTGAATATTCATACATTTAGCTGCAGAAATATTGATGTGTTTGATTATAGGGCACTGTCCTAAACCTCAGTGGAGTACTCCTTTATATACAATAAAGGCACTATATCCCTTTCTAAAATCTGAAAAATTCTGAAGTCCAAAACACATCTGTCCCTGGAGGTTTCAAATAAGGGATTTGGGACTTGTACACTTATCCCTATAGCCTGAGAGAAGTTAGGGCTCTTTATCCCTTGGAAGTCTTCGCTATCAACACGATTCTATACTGCCCTGAAGCCTCTTGCAGAGAACCTCATGTTCCCTAAATAACCAGCCCCTCTCTTCTCATGCTGTCCGGTCCAGTCGCCACTCAGATACGTTGCAGATGATCTGTGTCCAGGGAAACCCCCGAATGTGCCACACTGGAGGCAACCCCATGAGCAGGCTATGGCCTGAACAGCCCAGTCCTGAGGCTCATCAACTCCATCCAGCACTCAGTTGTCATCTATTTTCCTTCAGTAACTTTCAGTCTCAGACTCTGAGCCAAAGGGAAATACAGTCTCACTTAATGTCAGGGTAGGAAAGTGTGGAATGCAGGGAGCCTAAAGAATCATGATCATCAGCAAAACAGAAGATATGGGCTTCTGGCTGAGAGTTCATCTGTACCCAATTTCCCCTCTGAGCCCCCCTGATGAGAATCTGAGATTCTCATCACATTTCACCAACAGCCCATCATCCCTATCCCTACCCTCCACCCCCTTCTCATTCTGGAACCCCATCAGGATCTGGATACCCGTATTTATCAGTAACTCCTGTCTCCGGACCTCTGCATCTCTGCCTCCCTGCACTGTCTGTATTGCCCCACATCTGTGTGCCTTGTCCTAGTGTAGGTCTCTCTCCCCACTGCTGTCTACCTCACTCAGGATTCCCTTCTGGAGGGAACAGAGGTGCCAACTATGCTATACCAGATAATCCCTCCTGGCATAGGGCTAAGAGGGCACTAGAGGAAGAGATCTGGTTGTGCTTGTCCTGACAAGGAGCCTGGGGTTTCTGGTTTGGTCTCTGAAGCATTTCTCTCACCTTGCCCACTTCCTTTTCACTACACCACTTTGAACATCCACTGAGCAGGCGCCCTCCCACCACACACTCGAGAGCAGAAGGAACACAGCAGTTTCTCCCTTCACCAAAAAGGAACTACCATTTAAATTTTAACTTAAAAGCTGGAATCAGGGGCGCCTGGGTGGCTCTGTCGGTTGAGTGTCCGACTTCAGCTCAGGTCATGGTCTCACGGTCCGTGAGTTCGAGCCCCGCGTCAGGCTCTGTGCTGACGGCTCAGAGCCTGGAGCCTGTTTCAGATTCTGTGTCTCCCTCTCTCTGACCCTCCCCCGTTCATGCTCTGTCTCTCTCTGTCTCAAAAAATAAACAAACATTAAAAAAAAAAATTAAAAAAAAAAAAAAAAGCTGGAATCAGGCTGACTTAGGCTTGAATCCCAGATCCTCCATTAACTCAGTGTATCCCTTGCACTAATTTACTTAACCTCTCTGAGCCTTTTAATTCACTTGTAAAATGAGGAAATAATAGTACCTACTTCAAGAGGTTACTAAAAGGATTAACCAACATAACAGATTCAGAGTGTTTGGCATAGCTTCTAACATGGGATATTTGATATTAATTCCTCTCCTGGAGCGCAGTCCCATGCCCAGGGCCAAACCTTTGTTTAAAGACCGAGCACCCATATATATATATATACCCTTAGCTCTAACCTACCCTGAGGCCAGTAACATCATGTAGGACCATTCCCTGTGCCTCATATTCATACCTCAGCCAGCTCAGACGATGACCGACTTTATGGGACAGCTCTACATGCTGGGCCAGCATAGGAAAGGATGCTCCCCATACAGAAGTGGTCTTCCTAGGCATGCAGGAGACTCTCAACAGGGACTCAAGAGAAGACTCTTTAGACAGATAAGAGGCAGAGTCAGAGAGTAGCTACTAGAAAGGCTCTCCAGAGTGGTTCTTCTCTGAGGAAAAAACACTCTTCTTCTCCAGCAAACACCAGGTTGAGATCTCTGGACAGAGACACAAGGGGAAATCACACATAGATTAGGGCTGCAGTAGGTAAGTGCCAAACAGACACAGATCTCCCTAGGACATGGAGTGGTGCATGAAGAAAAATTTCCTCAAATTTACCTGGGTAATTCTGGCTTCCTGAAAGTCCTCTCCAGTTACTAAGGCAACATTGTCCCAATTAGATTCTTATCCTCCACATTGTCACCACTCAGCATGACACCCTCCTACACATACACCTGGTATTTATTGCAATTGTAACCCACTCATTAATAATGGGTTTCAACCTAGGCTGTACATCAGAATTGCCTGAGGAGCTTTTAGAAATCCTGATGCCCAGGCACACTCCAGACCAATTAAATTAGAATCTCAGGGGGTAGGATCCAGGCATCTATAGTTTTTAAAGCTCCTAGGTAATTCCAAAGTATGACCAAGTACTGCTTGGTTCTCAGTCTAAGTCCTGATCTATACTTCCAGTGTGTCCTTCAGGACCCCTATCCAACCTCATGAAGAAGTCACCTGCAGCTAATAAGGCAGCACAGCAAATTGATTCAATAAGGCTGCTGAAGGGGGAAGCCTGATTCTGCTTCCTTTAAGAACTCAGACCAAGAACTACACACACACACACACACACACACACACACACACACACAAATGCACTCAAGCACCCCTGCATTTTCCTCCCCTAAGGAGGAGAATGGATAAATGACTCAAGGGTATGGACTCATGCTGTGCATATAGTGAGGCTAGGAAAGTGACTGCCCTCCCCTCACCCAAAGCCCCATTATCTAGTAGGACCTCTATGACCTCATGCTATAGTAGGTCAAAGCCTAAGGCCTGGGGCCTCACCTCTCTGGGCAGCTTGGGGTTCCTCCAGCAGCCACTGCCCTGCCTAACCTCTCCCATACCCCACCATGTTGGTTGGTACCCCCCACCTGCTGACACTGGATGAAGCTGATGCCACCTGGACCCTCATCAAGGATAAAGTAAGAGAGCTAAAGAGAAAGGAACAAAGTGTGACCTAGATGGGTCTGAGCAACTTATGAGTAGGAAGTGGTGGGTAGCTTGAAGATAATAATATTTACTCAGTGCTTACTTACACGCTGGACACTGTACTAAGTGCTTTGTACACACTGTCCAATTTAATCACAATTGCAAAAAACAGCAAGAAGTTCCTTCAAAGGCAGTAAGAATTTCTGAGAACAGAGACAAGTGCTAAGTCAGGGTAGGACTTATGAGGTCAGGAAGGCTTCCTGGGGAGAGTGACGTTCTAGCTAGGCAAGTGGGAATTATTCTCACATAGAGGAAAGAGGAATGTTTAATAAACACCTAAATGAGTTAGTGAGCAGGTGGGTGGGTGGGTGAGCGAGTGAACAGTGTATAATTAAAAGTACAGCATATGCAAAAGCCAGGAGAGGATTTAAAAAAATTGCATATTTGTGAACTCAAATAGTCTGTAGAGCAGAGTTCACATGAGTAGTGGTGAAAATGAGGTCAAAGAGGTACAGAGGCTGATCATGAAGGGCCTTGTAAGCTTTCTAAAAAAGCTTGGACTTCTTCACAGATACCCCCTCCACCTTAACATCCACAAAATGAGAAATTTGGGTTTTGAGCCAAATATGGAGATTTTCAGGAGCAGGCAGATGTCAGCTCTGAGTTGCAAGTACCCCTGCCAAATCTAGATGGCCACAACTTCTGAATTTGGAGAATTTAGGGATCAGGTTCTGGTTACATAATCTGAAGGACAGTGAATTTAAAGCACTCATAGGAGGCAGACCTTCTATCAAGTTTAAAACAACCATCTTAAAGTAGTGCCTACTAGACTCAAACAGCCTTAATAGATATAGCTCCCATTAGAAATGGAGCTCACCACAAAGGTCAGCTTCCCAGGGAAGCAGAAACAGGAGAGCCAAGGCCCTCACAAATATCAGAGTACCTAGCTTCAGCAGGTTGGTCCTGGACAAGATCAAGCATTTCATTATGATGAAAGTAAATGCGGTCATCAACCAGCAGACAGCTACATCTCTAAGCATCAGAAAAATTCCTTATTTAAATGGAAAATTGTCAGGAAAGGCAAAGTAGATACACAATAAATCACTGGTGATATGTGGCAAATTCAAGGAGCAGGACACCTCTAAGTAACCTGGTTTCCTCTCTCCAGAACTGATAGTTTATTGGGCACTTTGTAGAACATACAGTTAACCAAAATATGGCTTGAAGTCTCCTCATTCAGAATTCATACCAGCCGAGGTATACCCAGGAAGAAAGTTTTCCAACCTCACTTTCCCAGGCTGCCCCTGGGAAATCTAAATTTGCAGGCTTCTATGTTCCACAGAACTTTTACCCAGAAGTAAAGGTGCAGTGGGAACAGGTAGTGGTCTCACATGGTGACTCTACAAAGAACAGTCCCCCTGGCATAGAACTGAGTGCCCTATTTTCCCTATTTTAGGATAACCACTGGGGGCCTCAAGGGTAAGAAAAAGAGCCTATAAACCTCCCCACCATGGCAAATTCATGTCTATTCTGGGAAAAACCCTCCAGCTAAATCAGGGATTCACCTGATCAGAAACTTGGACCATAAGAACAGGTATTTTAAATGTCAAAATCCCACTAAAGAGGTACCTCCTGGAGACACTCCTATTTGTCTTATTTGTATAGGATCCTAGGGACCAAAGGAGCAGCTAGGGTAGGATTCTGAAGTTATATTTGGTCACTATGCTTTCTTTGTCATGGGGAAGAATATTCTAAACAAAAATGCCAACCCACCAATGCTCTGCTCTCACCCCTGGTAACCCAACTGGCCCTTCTCAGAGCTTCTCAGAGAACTGTTCTTCAGCCTGATGCCCCCACCAAAAATAAAGTATTTCATGTCCCAATGAAGCAAAGAAGAGGAATTATGGGAAATTCTTCCATGCAGATTAAGAAAAAGCACCATGATAAACACTAGTATTTCAAATGGAAAAAAAAGAAAAAAAAGAAAAAGCACCATGTATTTCCCTGGCCAGGCAACAAAAGACAGTACTCTTCAAGCTACTTCAGCTTGTCCATAGTGCAGACACAACTTGATCAGTTAGCGACCCTCCCTCCTCTTATGCTATGGGGCAGCACTTCCAAAAACAGTTCTATGTAGCAAAAAGCAGATTGACCATAAGGGATCATTGATGAACTCTACCAGAAGGCTGGCAAACTGGGCAAGGCCAGGGGACAGGCATGTAGGAATTGGGAGCTGAGGAAGGGCAGTAGAACATAGCAAAAATGCTATTCTGAAAACAGAACGGGTCTCAAACAGGAAAGGAATCCAAACAAGGAATTTTATGTACTGGCTAGCAGACCACAGAGCCAGAAGTCTGAGCTAGCAGTATCTTTGATGAGTTGAGATCATATCTAAGTACAAATACTAGAAAGGATCGTACAAGATTTCCCAGTTGGTCATGAAGTTAAACTTTCCAGAACTGGGTTAACCAAACCAAAAAAGGCCAAGACAAGGACAAAACCTAGAGGAACTAGAATCCCTGAAAGCGTACTAGAAGAACCAGCATTTCAAAGATGAGGCCTCAAATCCCTAAAGGAACTCTCTCCTGCAGTTAGGACAGAAAATGTTTAAGAACAGTCATTCCAACCTATTTCTGTGTACCCATTTGTGGTGAATGACATCACCCACCCAATCAATCATCTAATAACTTATCCTTCAGGATTCCTTTTCTCACATTCCTTAAAGTGATCAAGTTCTACTAATTCCATAACCTAAATATCTTCCCCCATTATTTTAGTTGAAGGCCTCACCATGTTTTGCTTGCAGTATTACAATACTCTTAACTGATCTTTCCTCTTATTTTGTCTTCCTACTCAAAATTAACTTTCTAAAGAGCCTTTCTGATCTTGCCCCTCTTGCCCAGAGCCCTTCAAATGGTTTTCCATTGCCCTCAGGACCAAATTCCTGTCACATTGCATACAAACAAGATCTTTCAGTCTAGTTGCTGTGTGCTTGTCCCTCTTCATACCCTATGTTTAAGTGCAAGGAAATTACGTGTTCCTGAATGTGCCCCACCTAGTTTATAAATTCTGGTTTTTAAACTGGTTGTATCCTCTCCCTGGATTGACCATCCTCCTACCTAGCTGATTCCTTCAAAGCTCATGTATTACCACCTAGAAACTTTCTCTGATCCTCTTCTATCAAAGAAAAAAGCTGTTAAATCACTACCTGTCTCCTCCACACCCGTGTTCTCTATTATCTTACTTAGCTGACTACTGTGTACATATTTGTCTCCTCCATCAGACCGGGCTATAATAGGATAAGGTCAAAATCTCATGCTTTTATGTATTCCCAATATCCAGCAGGGTCTGGCACATAGTATATTCAAGGTTTTGCTACAGGAGAGAACTAGGAAATAAGCAGGAAGCCGTCTGAGCACATTGTAGAGATGTAATTGCACAGGGAACAGCAGGAGGGTCAATCTAGAGTAGGCTACCAGGTAACTCCTGACCCTAACTCAGTCCCTGACCTATAAACTGGCCATCTGCAGGTTATCGAGGAGCGCTTTGGGCCCAATGTAGTGGCAGTACCTTTCCTGTCGGATGCAGCCTGCTATGACCTACTGGGTGTGCTAGTGAAGCAGTCCCGACCAGCCCACACACGCCTGGCTTTACCAAGTCGGCAGGGTCGGCGGACACTACAACCAGTAGGGCCACTACCAAACCTCCTGGAGCAGGTAGGATCTAAGGGTGCCTTTGCCCACTGCACTCGGGAATACTCACCAAACGGCCGGGAAGAGATAGCCTATGAAGAAATGCGACTATTGGATGGGCAGCCCTGCAGGATCCGCCTGCACATGGGTGGTCTGCGCAAGAAGGTGGCCTTCCTGCTGCTGCCACCAGCTCAGGTGAGCCTACAGCAAAATCTTCCCTGGCTCCGAAGCACCCACAGCATCTATGTCATCTACCAGGTCTTCTCCTGTTCCTGGCTGCAGCTGGGGCTGTTGCCTACAGCCCAAGAGCCCCAGCTGCTCCGGTTACAACGGTCCCTGCCTGTTGCTTTCTCCTGCCTCAAGTTTTCACTGCAGCCCAAAGGAGTGCTGGGACCACAGAAGCCTCTGACCAAAGATCCACTGCCCCATGGGGCCAACTGGGTCAGACCCAACCTTGGGATCATGCCACCTGTGGCCCCCATGTCAACCCCTACCGACACCCCTGAAGCTACTGATGTGCCCCCACCTGCCCCAGCCACACCTACACCACCTCCTCAGGAAAGGCCAGAAGGCAGACCCACCAGATTTTCCTACAAGGGCCGAAACCCTTTCCGCAGGGGGCCCCAGATGCTGTCAGGTACTGCTAGGGGATATGAAGTTGAGACGGATGGGATCTGGTGGAGGGAGAGGGCATGGGGAATATAGGAATGTGTGCCCCAGGAATGTGTGGGGCACCCCTAACACCACACCAGATCCTGGTGAAGGGGATGGAGGGAGCCAGGGGTGGTGAGATGGAAGCATGGTCCTGGTGAGGGTGTGGGCACAGCACAGAGGGCCAGAGGGAGGGACCAGGAAGGCAGAAAGACCAGGGCATGAGTCAAGCTGTGACTATCCCCAACCCTGGCAGAGAACTGGCTCTTCAGCCCCTGCAGCCCCGCACCAGGAGTCCAGGGTGGGGGCCCCAGGGACCCCGACCGGCACTCCATGTCCCTGCCCCTGCTGCAGGGTCTGTCCTCAGAGTTCGACAGCGACGAATGAAGCTGAGGCAAGAGATTCAGGGGGCAAGGCCCCCAAGATCTGGCATAGGGATACTGGTCCCCAATAAACATCAGCTGCTGCTCCCCCAAACCATCCTGGGCCCGTGCTGCTTCTTCCGTCTTGGGGCTGGAGAAGAGTCCCTACTTTTTTCCCCTAGGCTCCATGACCCCCTCACCCTTTAACGGTGTAAGAAGCACCTTAAAACCTTAAAACCAATGTCCTCGTGAGAGAGAAAATACCCCTGACCTCCTATTTATGTACAACCTTCCTGGGGCCCCAGCCCCCGAGAAAAAGGGTGGGAAAGAAGAATGAGCAGAGAATAGAGATTTCCCTTTTATACATATTGCAACAAGTTCTCCATAAAACATTCATCAGAAATAAATTAAAAAGTCCTCTTACCACTGCCTCCAAACATAAAAAGGAGCCTATACCCCGGCCCCAGCCCAGGCCACTGGAGGCCCTGATTGTCCATGGAAGAAAGTTAAGGATTGAGGGGCCCGAAGCCTGAGACAGGAGGACCAGATCCCTCCTCTGAAGTATCCAACAAGAAAGGCGAGGTGACAGCATGGGCCTGGGAAATGGCAGCCAACTCCTTGAGAAATTCAGGGAAAATGACTGCACAGTAGACAGCATTCTTGACTCGCAGAGCCTCACCTTGGCGCTCAGGGGCCCCACCCCGAGGGGGTAGAACCGGAGTTGAAGCCCCAGGGGAGCCCCCACCTAGGCCAAGTCCTGCGCCGTCTCTCCCAGGCTGAAGAACCAACTGTGCCGCCTGCCGGGCCCTGGTTGGACTGTGTGCATGCCGCAGGAGCAACTCCCCCAAGGATGGCCTCCGGCTCTTCACTGGGAATAAATGGGTATCAGGGATCGTGAAGGTGCTGGGGTAAGGCATGCTCTCTCGGTCTGAGAGATGCCCCCCTCCCTGGGTTCACAGTAATCTGGACTAGGACTCTAAAACCAAAATGCTGCCTGCCCAGCATTTTTCCCTCCATCCAGCCTCCCCACCAAGCCAACCATCACCCTTAGTCTTCTCGGTCAGTCAACACAACTGCTTCATTCCCAACCAAGACCCCTTCTCCATGCCCTCTCACCCTGAGGGACTCTCTAACTCCTCCTCCCTTTCCAATCGCTATTCTACCATCACTAAGCTATTTCTCTTCAGTCCATAACACAGGCTTATCTTATGCTCCTGAACTATCTATAACACAGGACCCACAGCCTCTACTCCTTCAACACCTACAGGGCGTATATCCAATCACAGTCCAGGGGCTTTACCACTTCCATCATATTCCACTATCCCTCCAGAATCTGATCTCCTGTGCCATCACTTCGCCAACCACCAGTCTCTCTCCTAGATCCACCAAAGCCTACTCCCCCGTCATGTCAGTTTAGGCAACTTCACATGGCCAGACAAACTTCACCTCACTTTAGACTCAAAGGAACCATTTAAAACACTGCTGTCTCTCCTAATTTTCTTCCTAGATTCCTGTCTCTGGATCTTTGTCCCATCTCTAGGGCCTAGACTCTAGGGATCTAGTCTCTAGATCATGTTACAGTTCCCACACTCTATCTCTAATACTGGCTACAGAGGTACGCTGTACAGGCCAACTAAATACGGCATTCAGAACCCTTCACAACCAGGCTCACATGCCCCCTCTAATCCCTTCTCCAAACTCTTTACACCCACTCCTGCTTTTGTGCCCACACAGATCTGCTCTTCCTGGAACCCTCCAGGCTTCTTTCTTGCTTTTGTAGCCTTCTAGGTCTTAATTTTGCTCTCCCCACTGTTTTCATCATCCTTGGCCTAATCTTATTATCCCCACCCCTCTGAAAAACCTCTGATTTGCCCTCTACTGACTTCCCATTTCACTGCCTTTATCATACTGTACTGTAATAACTTGTTTCTAGTTTATATATAGGTCTTCTATCTCATACAGTAATCTGTGAGCTCAAGGGCTTAGACTCTTATTTATTCTACAGTGAACACAATACTAGCACTATGGAAATAAGACATCTTCACATGAGGAAATCATGCTAAGGAACTATAATAACCGTTCTGGTACTGTCTTCCCAACCCACATCTCTCATACCTCCATCTCACCCCTGCTCTCTTGCTCTTAGCATATTATTTTCCTTCCTACTTTGATTAGCAAATAAAGGACTTCAATTTCCTGACTTTTCCCTCCACACCTCACAACTCCATGGGTACATATCACTTCCTCCTTTGATCTATCCTCATTTGCCTCAAAAGGAGGAAAAAAAATCTTTTCCTGCCCAAAGTTAATCCTTTCCTGGTGCAATGGATCCCACTATTCCACCACCTTTGGGACCTTGCTTTCCCAGTTATGACATTTCTCTAGTCACTCTCCAGACTGACTGTCAGCTCTTTAAAAGCAGAGGTCTCATCTTATACCTCCCTGAGTAGCCTGTACCAAAGACAATGGCTAGTACATACAGCAAATGCTCAGACACTTGCAGATGGAAGATCTAGATTTAAAACTGCACAGTCACATTTAACTCTTCCTTCCTCCTTGTGCCTCACAACCATTCACCAAACTCTGCCAAGACTTCCTTTTCATTTCCACATTATCAAATTCTTCCTTCCTGTTCCCACTATTCTAATTCAAGCCTTGCAGGTCACAGATGCATTTCAGCAGAAGCCTCCTGACTCTATTTTCTCCTGGCTCCAATTCACTTAGCACATGAACTAATATGCTTATCTCTCCACTCTCATATCTAAAAACCTCCAGTGGGTTCTCACTGCCCAAAAGATCACAACTTCTACCCAGTCCAACTCCTAATCTGAGAACCTAATCTGAACTCTGGCCACATCTTTCCAGCCTTATTGCCAACTGTTTCACCACCTTCCAAATCCCCTGTTCCAACAAAATAGTTCGTGCTGTTGCCTGGACAAAAGAAAAAAGCCATCCCACTCCTTTGGCTACCCAAGTCTTATCTATCTCAAGAACCATGTCAAATGCCATTCCTGTTCCCAAGCTGTAACAATACCTCAACCTAGAGACTACTCTGTCCCCTTGCCTGTCTTACTACTTCAGCAGTTTTTGCTAGTGCTGCTGATTTGGCTCTTAGAGGACACAACTGTATTTTATCCTGTGACCAGAAGCCACAGGACAAACATCAAGACTCAATTTTCTACAACTCCTCAGTTCATGGCACAAGGTTTCACCCTTAATAAGAGTTCAATTAACCTGGGCTAATTAGCTATCTAGGGAAGACAGGAAGAGGACTGGAGTGGTGGGGTAGGCCTCACCTAGGGGATCGGAGCGGCGGGGGGTAGGTCCTGCTGCAGGGCCCTCGGCCCAGTCCAACTTGCCACGGGCAATGAGGTACTTCTTGGCTTTGGATAGCAGTGCTGGGAAGTCCTCCTGGGAGGCCGCAAAGCTCTCAATTTTATTCTTCACAGAACCCAGCACCTATGAAGCACAACTTCATGACATTTCTGTGTGGCTCTACACTGATGGTCCTTTCTAATCCCACTGGGTCTGTTCCCAGCCCCCCCAGGGTCACTCCAGCTGCGGGCCTGGCCCACCATGGAGCCTGGACGCACCCATGCATGCATGCATCGCACACCTGCAGCAGGGACTTGACACTGGGCTGGAAGACCATGTTGGTGTTGAGCAGGAAAGAGCGGAGCAGGGGCTGGGGGTGACAGGCCAGCTGGGCCACCAGCCCCGTCAGCAGGAAGTTGACATAGACGGAGTTCTGCAGCATGTTCTCGAGTTTGGCAAAGAGCACAGCCATGAAGGGGCCTGGGGAGGTTGGGCACAAGGATACAAGGCCTGAACACAATGCACATCACACGCATTCCTCCCAAAACCAAGAGACCCCCCCCGCCACTAGATGAAAATCATTTGTATGTCAGTGTCTGGGTTATATTTAAGTATCCTGTGATCACCTACTCTGGAAGAGATGAAATGGTAGATACCATGTGGACCCAAAAGTCCACACGCCAGCTTTACACTCAGGATGAAGAGCCAGATCATAGGCTCTGGAGTCAGACAGACCTGGTTTCAAATTCCAGCTTTACCCTTTACTAGTTAAGCTGCTGGATGAATCAAAATTCTCTAAGCATAGTGTCCTACTTAACAAAATAAAATATACCCACCTCACAGGGTTATTAAAAAGATCAAAGAAATATTCCTATAAAGCAGTTAGCCCAAGATGTAGCAAATTATAAGTTTTCAGTAATAACTATAAACTACATAATGTCTCTCAGTATTTTAAAAAGTTTCACCCAAGAGACATAACAGAAGAAAGAACAAGCAAGAAAGTGATTAGGACCAAAAGAAGAATCAGGTTACACACAAGACAGAGGATAACACTACACCTGGATCAGAAAGAAAGCAAGAATGAACTGTAACAAAGACAAAGGTAACTACGAAAGCCAACTTAAAAGATAGGGGAGAAATCTCTGGGAGCCCCAAAGAAGAAATCAGCTGTGTTCAGGAACTGGGAACCAAGAAGGTAGAAGAGAATTTATAGAAAAAAGTTTAGTTCAGAGCCAGAGAAAACTGACTCAGAACAGACTCTTTGCTGGGTGAGAGGATAACAGAAGGGATTAGAATGATCTACTGGGAGAAGTGGCCTCAACTGAGCCAGATCACCAGCAGGAGGACTCTAGAGCCATCAGTCTGTCTGACCAGTGATCTGTAAGGGAAAGGGATTAAACCTAAGAACTGCACCATGAACTGAGACAGGAGAGCAACAAAGGGAAAGAGGCAATGAATTCCAAAAAAGATCCTAGAACATTCTCCACTCCAAATGCACGTGACTGGCCTTAGCTCCATACAACTCTAGCTTAACAGGGTCCTAAGACACCCCATAACTCTGTCCTTCTGTTTCTCTCATTTCCTGGGACTTTCTTACATGAGAAAATTCAAAAAGCTCAGAAGAGTTTACAAAGAAGAAAAGGGACACAGCTTCAACTAATGTTTCAAGAATGTGGTAAAACCTGCATACCACCTTCTAATGGTACTGAGCAGGAAGAAGCAAAGCTTAAATAAATGGAAACACATTTTCTGTAGTCTGCAAGACGGAGTTGTCGTGACTCTAGAGCAGAAGCCTTGATGCTATGCAAGCAGGATGGCAGCATATCCCAGGCCCAGTTAGGACATGTACTGCTCAAGGCACAATAACTTGACTACAAACAACCAGAAGATGGGCGTATACCTTGGTCAACTTATATCTGCCTTGCAGCCAAAAGATGACAATCCTAGTAAAAAGCTACCACGTGCTGAGTTCTCCCAAGGTACCAGCATCACAGTAAGTGGTTTACACGCGTCAATGATATGAAGGGACACTAACTCAAGGTGTGTCTAGACACTGCTTCTCAGAGGTGGTGTATTTTGTTTGTTTGTTTTCCCCCTAGAGTGAGGTGGGGAGTAAGGATAAGAACCAGATAAGAGCTGGGATGGTAAAGCTGGATCTCAAATAAAAACAAAGAGGAGTTAGCCCAGTGACTCAGGTCAGGTCTAACTCCAGGGTCTTTAGAAAGACCAAAAGAGCTCAGTTGGGGAGATCAGAGCTACACTTTTCTCATTTGCCCTCAAAGAGGCATTTCACTCTATCTGCTTCAGTCCTTACTACTAATGATGAGTCTGTAAGAAAGTCTTACTGGGTAATTATAGCAACCAACAAGGTACAAGGACAGAAAACAGCAAAAACCTGAAATTGAGTCCTTCTCTAAAGAGACTAGGAGAAGAAAGGAGGCCAGGGCAGAGTAGGGGGAAGAACTCCAGAAGAGATGATCCTAGGTCACAGAAAAGTTGATAGGAGACCCAACACCCAGACAAATATACGGGTGGGAACAGCATGGAACAGCATGGCTTACAGATGCCTCACATACAGAACACCACATATGTCCTCCATATGTATTGTTCAGATATATTGCTGTGATTTACCAGGAAACACCAAACACATCCTGATCACAATCTCAGGAAATGGCCAGACTAGGGAAGAGGAGGAACATGCACATAGAACATACAAGGCTCAGACATAAATTAATACTCAAACCAGCACAAGCATGGAAGACATATAGACAGACACAGAGACCCAAGTATGACATGTATCTGGAAGGGATCCAAGCAAAATGGATGAGGAGCTAGGCAAGTACATGGAAATGACATGGAAAAGAAGTCTCAGAAATCAGCACAAACATGTTGAATACATGCAAAGAGTACGCAAAGGGGAAGGCCTAGGCTAAGTAGCTTACCAGTGAAGGGCTGGCTTGGCAGCTGGTTGAGCGTCCGCAATGGGCTGCTGAGGAAGGGGCCAGGGGGCTCAGGGGGACAGGTGAAGCTCTCATAGGCCTCCTCCTCCTCAAGAGGTAGTGGAGGCTCTAGCGGGGGTTCTGAGCCAGCCCCCCCATTGCTTAATGCCACCTCCAGTTCCCGGAGCTCCTGCCCAAAGCCCTCTAGTCCTGCCATGCCCTCGGAGGTGCTCTCTGGCAGTTCCCCAGGCCCCTCCTGGGGCACCCGACGAACCTTCTTGGCCCCCTCAGGCCATGGTCCTGGCACCCCATTGAGCTGGGGAGGGGGCAGGTGGCCAGGGCCCTCCCCTATACCCCCAGAAAGCCCTCCACTCCCCAGCTCTTCCTCCTCCCCTTCCCCCACATTGTCCCTGTCCTCCTCAGGCAGTAGGCTGCGTTTCTTAGTCCGGGAGCCAACAGGACTAGGCTCAGGAGGGGGCCGCTCGCCATCATAGGGGGCAGACCAGGTACGGCAGGCTCGGACACACCGGTCCACACCACGGCGCGCCTCACGCAGATACTCCAGGTAATTGTCTTCCAGCTCACCAGGCTCCTCCACAGAGCTGGGCCGTCGGCCAGGGCTGGAGGCTGGGGATGCAGCAAGCCCTGGTGAGCGAGGGGCTGGAGCTGGGGATTCCGAGCCACCCAGACTCTGCTGTCGCAGGAAGAGGGCCAGACGAGACGGTGTGGAGGGCCGGGGCACTGTCACCACAGAAGAGGAGTCAACACTTGGGCTTCCAGGGCCTACAGAGGGAAAAAAAACATAAGAGGAATCAAAGAGACAGAGGGCCAGGAGGAGGAATAAGGCACCTAGGGAGACTAAGAGAGAAGGCAGTGAAGCAGCAAAGAAATGTGACCTATTTAGGCAGCTGATTCTCCACCCTCCAAATTAAGCTTTTCTGCATCCACCACCCCCTCTCACCACCCCCAATACCAAAGAAACAATGGAAAATAGAAACAATACATGACTGGAATGAAGAAGAGGAACAGCTTTGCTCAGAAGCTAAATTTCTTTGGTGGATTTAAGGCATCAACCTCCCCAAAGATGAAAATGCCACTCATGGCCATCTCCCTCCCCGCACCCAAACCCCACCTTCTTGCTAGGCTCCCCAGAACCCAGGCCATACCCGTTGTGTCCTCCCTTCTCCCTGCCTCTCTGCTAGGCCCACCTCGTGCCCATGAGGCATGCTCTGGACGGGGTGGGCTAGGGGCACGATGCCGACAACAGCGTGGGATAAGGGAGAGAAACTTGTCTGCAGCTCGTCCATATAGGTCCACATCACGTACAGCTGGCTTCTGGCTCAGCATCACATGGTTACACGGGACGAGATACCTGGGAAAGCAGAAAAAGGAGCACAGGATAGATCAGAAAGGAAGGACAGGGCTTGGGAGAACATCAGGCCAATGGAACTACATGGCCAAGACAGGCTCCAAGAACATCAGGCCAATAGAAACACATGGCTAAGCCAGGCCAATGGAACTACATGGCTAAGCCATGCTCCACATGAGCAACCCCAATACAACCCATCGCCCCAGCAATGCACAAGGCCTTGAGAGTTCAGGATCAGCCATCCCTCAGCCCTGCCCCCACAGGTACCTGAGAACCAGCTGCAGCAGGACATCCTCACAGCTGAGGTTCAGTAGGGTCCTGAAGAGACTCAGAGAGACCATGCAGAGCTGGGGGGGTGGGGGAGGAGGGAGGGAGTCACCATAAGAGCTCTCTACCCACCAAGATGTTTACCAAATGGGAACCCCCCAGCCCCAGGCCCAACCAACCACTCCTAGAGTAGCATGTGCATAGGGCCTGGCACAGAATGATCATTTGCATATTAAATAAATGATCACATGATCTTTGTAGGCAAGACCTCACTATTCACAGATAGGAATGAACCATGTGTCACGTTCTATATTTCTACAGACCATACACATGTCAGCAGACTCTCTGGTTACATACCCCTGTCAGCAGAGATTCCAGTAGTAGTACTTAATGGAATGAATACCCATGAAGAAAGACCCTAGGAAATACTGGGACTGAGGGAATGACTAACAGGAGACAACAACAATATGATAACTAAGTGAATGCCTGTCAGCAGAGACTGCGGCTGCACAGTAACTAAATGCCTACCAACAAGAAACCAGAGGGAACCTGGAAGAATCCCAGCTGGGAAGTGGGCGGGGCTGTGAACATGGAGTCTGAGTCACCTCTCCAACACTGATGTATCTCTAAGAAGGTAGAAGAAAGAAAAGCTCAAGCACAGCTGACAGGAAAAGGAAAAAATAGGTGGGTCCAGAATAGAGGAAACCATTTGTTTTAGAAAATAAGAAGCGTGGTTCTTCTCTGGCTAGGCGAAGAGAGTGGAAGACAACAGACACAAGTAAGCACTCCCTCACTCCTTTGAATCCCCACAGCACTTTCTCTCTACTTCCCTTATGGCAAGTATACCTAGAGCTCCCTGAAGATGACTATTGGGTCTTAGGCCAGGGCACACTGCATAGTCTAGATGCTCATCATTTACTAAATAAATGTGGGAAGATTAAAAGCCAACTGCAGTGGGAAAGAGATGAGATATCAGTTCACATATTTGGATATTTGCAAGGATGTTCAGATTTACCCTAAATAACCATTTTAACTAGCAATGAAAACATTCACACTCACTGAAAGGTTGTGAGGTAGGTAGAAAAATGGTCCCCCAAAGATGTCCAGGTCCTAATCCCCATAACCTGTAAGTATTTTACCCTACATGACAAAAGGTACTTTGCAGATATGATTACGGTTATGAAAGTTGAGGTGGGGAAAGTAGCATGGATTATCCAGGAAGGCACAATCAAATCACTTGAGTCCTTAAAAGCGCAGGACCTTCACCAGCTGGGTCAAAAAGATATCTGAAGCTTGAGAGGGACTTGATTCACCATTGATGGCTCTGAGGATGAAAGAAGGGGGCTACAAACCAAGGAATTTGGTTGGCCTCTAGAATCTGGGAATGGTCCTCAGCTGACAGCCAGCAAGAAAATGGGAATCTCAGTCCTGGAACTGCAATGAAATAAATTCTACCAGCAACCCTACTGAGCAAGGAAACAGATCCACTCCTAGAGACTCCAGAAAGGAACACAGCCCTGAAAACATTTTGATTTTAGCCTAGTGAGATCTGTGTCTCAGACGTATGACCTACAGAACTGTAAGATAATAAATTTGTGTGTTTTAAGCCACTATGTTTGTGGTGATTTGTTATGACAGCAATGGGAAACTAAAACAGGCACAGAGACTGACTAGCCAGCATGATTCACTTGAAGCCACAAAAGAAAAGCTTAAAGAAGTTCAAAGTCAGGGCAGCAGAATCAAGACTAAAAAAGGCCAAACAGTAGAAAGGAAAGCCCCGGCATCCTGAAATCAGAAACAATCTTGTCCTCCAAGAAGCAGGAAACAAGAAGAAATACCCCAAAAACATGAAGTCTCCTGAGACGAGAGGACCAAATGCAAGACTAATAAAATTAAATGCTGAAGACTAAAGACAATGAGAGAGAGTCAAAGAAGTGAGGATAAGATTAAGACGAAAGGAATATGGAGATAGCCCAACATAGGAAAAAAAGAAAAAAAAAATCAACCTCAAGAAGGAAATTAACTGTCTCAAAACACGAAGAGGACATTCCATCAGGCTGAATAGATAAAAGACCATGGTCTAACTTTAGCATAATGCGAAATTGGTATCTTTGTAAAATTAAAGCTTTGACATCTATTTCCTATTGATTTTAGACAATAATTCCTAATTAACCCAGGCATGTATCATAAGTACTTTTTGGAATATTGTAAAAATACACATGCCCTGTATATTATAATCCAAGAAATCTAAGGCAGGGAGCCTAGAAACTGTTGTAGCTGTTGCCATTTTCAAAGTGGCACCTGGTTCAGAAACACTGGTCTAATCAAAGTCAGTGTAGAATACTTCATCCATACCCTTAGTATTCAAAAACCTCACCTACACAAAACAGCTATCCCAAAACCTCACCTACCAAGAGGCCTACTACCAGGTATCTCAATGTATCTGAATGATTTTCAACAGTTTTCCAGAACCTTTAGTAATCTGAGAACTTCTATTTTAAATACAAGGACCTAGGGAACTTCAATCTGTTATAAGAAGGAAACAAAAAAATGGTTCCAAAGCTAAATAAATGGCATAAAGTTCATGACTAAATGAATGCTTTATTCCCCTAGAAAGACTCTGGGTCTTTATTACTGGAAACTACTTACTCCTCTTTCATACATATTTCTACTGATTAAAATCCAAACTGCTTACCATGGTCTACAAGGTCATGCATGACTGAATCTTACCTACCTCTCTTTCACCTCATTCCCTTCTCCCCCTTGCTCACTACACCTCCAGTCTTACTGGTCTTTTATTTCCTCAAATACACTCACTCATCCCCATCTCATGTACTGTGCATGCTGCACCCTCTGCTCAGACTCTTCTTCCACTTGTTCTTCAATAGGTGAACTCCCTCATGACCTTTAGGTCTTAGCTCAATGTCACCTCCTCAGAAAGGTTTCTGACCACCTTATTATTTTCTAAACAGCTGTTTGGTTTTTTCATAACAGTGACCACAACTTTCAATTATTTTATTAATGGGTTTGTATAAAGTAAGGAAGCTCCATGACACCAGCAACTATGCCTACCTTGTTTACCACTTATCCTTAGTAGGAGAAAACAGTAAGTAAAACATTCAGTAAAAATGTTCAGGAGGAAGGAATGTTTAAGTAGGTAGGTGGGGAGATGGGTGCCCCAAATTACAGCACTTCAAATGTGGCAAATCCAAAGGGGAAAAAAGCTAAGCATACCAGTAGCAGCTGGATCACCTATCAAAGCAAACACAAAACCTGGGGAAGTGATCTCAGTCACCCACAGCAGGCCACAGTACAATACACAGCTGAAGAGAACCCCAGGCCAATGCTACATCGCAAGTACAGCACAATGGCAAAACCCCTAGTCATGATGAGGAGCCAGTTATCCAGAAAAAGTAATGTGTTCTAGATTCATATATTACAAAAGCAAGGGAGCTACTCCCAAAGTGGTCAAAAGTTTAATACTGGACAGTAAATGCCACCTAACTTTGAAGTGACTGCTGGAGACAAAGGCCAAAGAAGGGCAGGCACACCCTCCCAGAACAAAGTTCAGAGAGAGAAGATGGCTCACCCAGGTAAGCCAGGACAGAGGTAGGGGCCATACCCGGGAGTTGCTGCCAATACGGGCAACGAGGGTGTCAAGGATGGTGTGGGTGTCATGCCGGTGTAACAGCAGGAATCGCAGGAAGGTACGGAGCAAAGCAGGCTCTGAGATACTCCGTAGGAAAAGCTCCAGATAGGCGGTACTGGCGATCATCTCCTCCACAGAGGTCTGGACGAAGGGGAGGGAAAGTTTGGAAATTTAGGGCTTCCCTGTACATGTACTAAGTTATTTTCCCCGAGCTCTAAGGAGGAACCAGGAGAAGATAGGGAAAAGGGGAAGAGTACCCAGCCCACTACTTCCCACATTGGTCCTGGCACTGGGGTCACCACCCCTCAGCCTTGCCACCCATAACTCTCACCTTATGCAGGGCAGGGCCCATGACAGGCACCAAGAACCCATTATGGATATAATCAACTAGCTGCTTCTGCACCAAAGGGTGAGCCACCTGTAGGGGTACAACAGAGAAGGAGGAAGAATGTGAGGTGGCCACTGTCTGGAAGGGAATAGAATGGTACAAGCAGGCACCCCACCCCCAAGATGGCAGAACAGCAGAACTCCAGGGAATGTGCCCCCTTCCCACCCCATTTGCCCAGAATGACCAAGAACCAGTCCTCCTGGGAAGGTGCAATCCCACCTGAATGACTGCATTGCAGAATTCTAGGGAACTCATGAAGAGCGCAAGGGCTGGCACTCCCAGCCAATCCTCCCGTCGCAGGCAGTGCCAATCATCCCCTGGAACCTCAATCTTGCGGGGCAGTGAGGAGTACAGGGCACTCAGCCCTGTGGCCAGCACCTGGGGGCCATCCCCAAGGACAGGTTACCAAAAGCTCAGACAATACATAAAAGGGAACCAGGGGAGCTATTAACCCAGAGTTTTGATGGGACTAGGGGAAAGAACTATTCCTCAAGCAGATATTTAGTTATCCAATGTGCCAGGACATCACCTGGGAACACTGGTCCATGAAGAGTCTTAGTATCTATGCTGTCCACCTAAGCCCATGTTTCATCCCCACCCCAACTCCAGGCACTGTTTTCAAACCCAGGGGGCTACCACCTAAAGGAAAAGTACCCAGTACATAGCCCCTCCACATCTTCTGGATAGCAAGGTGCTGTCTAGTGTCTATACACCATACCCTACCCCCCATCCCAGGAGGTGCTGACCGGGCAGAAGTAAGAGTGATCTGCAATGTAGCGGCCCACAGTGGGACTCCCGGCCGACAGAGCCATGAGCAGGAGTAGGGCATCACGGGCCTGCTGGCCCAGCGTGCCCTCCCGATGGACGAAGGGAACAAGGCGAGAAAAGAGGAGAAGGCGGGGGGCAGCTCCAGGCTCAGGAGGTGGCTGCAGGAAGAACTCGAGCAATGAAGGTTCCCGGGCCAGACACACACACAGCTGGCTGAGAAGTAGCACCAGGCCTTCATCCAGTGCTGGGCTACTGGGCACAGGACGGCCACAGGCATCCAGCAAGGTCAGCAGAGCCTCACGAACTGGACCGTGTCGCAATAGTGGCTGGCGAGCTTCACTCACTAGCATCTCAAACAGCTTCAGTTGCTCAGCCCGCCGTTCCTCAACCCCATCCCCAAGCTCATCCCATTGAAGCTGCCAAACCAACACACGGGTTAGCAGGTCCTCACGCAAAGCGAACTCCAGCAAGGGCCCAGGGGTCGTGGGGGCTGAGGGGACCACACGATCTTCTACCAGCAGTGTCAACATCTGGTAAGTGTGGTTGCGTACAGCACTGAGATCATCTGCACCCCCAGAAGCTGCCCGAGGGCCTTGCCGCTCCAGGATTCGCACTACCTGGAGAAACAGAAGATAGAAGGAATCTAAGATGATATGATGACTAAATGGGATGGTGAGAGTGAACAGAAGGTTAGGAGAACTCAGGGAGCCAGTGGATTAGGCCATTTGGTATAGAATCTCCTACCTGGGACCAGTGATTCTTGAAGACCATGAGGCAGGTCTCAGGGTCAGCCATGACAGGGGCCTGCAGACTGGACCCCTGAGGTACACGGTGCCCAGGGCCCCGGGAGGCCAATCTGCTCAACCAGTTCATCCTCTCCATGAGGCAGGCTGGGCAGGGCCAGTAGCCAGAGGGCCACACTCTGAGAATTTGCCAGCTGGCAGCTTTCTCCACTTGTGTCTCTAGCCTGCTTCATCCGGTCTGCAGGAGCCAGTAGCTGGCCATGGATCCAGAAGATACACCAGGCTGGAATAGCGAGCCCAGAGGTCACGGCCCAGTCCAGACCTGCAAATCTAATTCAAAGACAGAAAGAAAGGAAGAAATCAACAGAGGAGTTTGCCTCTCTCCACTCTCCAACAGGAAGAACTCAGAGCCACCAATCCACTGAAAATTCCACGCACATATGCAAACACACAGTACCTTAAATATAACGTGTTTTTTTTTTATTTTTTTTTTTTCAACGTTTTTATTTATTTATGGGACAGACAGAGACAGAGCATGAACGGGGGAGGGGCAGAGAGAGAGGGAGACACAGAATCGGAAACAGGCTCCAGGCTCCGAGCCATCAGCCCAGAGCCTGATGCGGGGCTCGAACTCACGGACCGTGAGATCGTGACCTGGCTGAAGTCGGACGCTTAACCAACTGCGCCACCCAGGCGCCCCTAAATATAACGTGTTTAAAACAGAACTCATTCCTACCACCAAACCTATCACTCCTCCAGCTTTCTCCATCTCAAGTACTGATACCAATATTCACCTACATGCTCAGGCCAAAAACTTGAACATCATCCTTATTTCTCCTTTTCCTTAATTCCAATGTCCAGTTTATCAGCAAACCCTATCACCTATACCCTCAAAGCATGTCTTACTATTGCAATAGCTTCCAATCTGGTGTCCATGCTTCCAGTCTTGTTTCCCCCTCCCCTGACAGTCTATTCTACACAAAGTAACCAGAGTGATATTTTTAAAACCTAACTTATGTTACGTCTCTCCTCTCTTGAATACCCTCCAATGACTTCCCATCACACTAGTAATACTCCAAATCCCTTACCGTGGCCTCTGGGTACTCTATGATCTAATCTGTATTAACTTCCTACCATCCTCCTCCTCACTCATACTTTACTCACGCAGGCCTTCTAGAATACTCTCTATTCTCTGGGCTTGGAGTGCTCTTCCCTGATCTTCACATTGTTCACATCACTCCATTTTTTTCGAATGCTGTCTCCTCAGAGAGGCCTTACTTAATTCTATTTAAGTAGTACATCTTCCCACCTTCACTCTCTAGCTTCCTAATCTTCCTTCTTAGCAGTTTTCACTATCAAAAAATATTTACTCGCTTATTTATTTGTCTAGCTTCTCCACCAGAATGTAAGCTCACTGAAGGCAAGGTTTGTCTGTTTTGTTTACTATTGTATCCCCAGTACCTAGAGCAATACCTAGGGACTCAGTAAATATTTGCTCAATGTGTGGACGCTTAAGTGAATGAATGAATAAACAAACGAATGAATGAAGGAACAAGAAACCCAGTCTTGGGGTGCCTGGCTGGCTCAGTTGGTAGAGTATGCAACTCTTGGTCTCAGGATTGTGAGTTCAAGCCCCACATTGGGTATAGAGATTACTTAAAAATAAAATCAGGAAGGAAAGAAGGAAGGAAGGAAGGAAAGAAGGAACCCAATCTTGATCTGACTCCAGCCCTCCGAGACTACTGAGGAAGAAATATTTTCCTACCTATCACAGTCCCTCCCTAGAATCCCACCCAGTAGGAAATAACCCAAGAGACCCTTAACTAGCTGAACACTCTTAAGGGGGAGAAATCCAGAGCCAACCGAAAGAGTGGAACAATTTTCATTCCAGCGAAGAGCACAGGGACACATTCCCATATACACACAGATACCCCACTCCTGCCAGATATAGCCAACACTCACTCCTGGGGCCATGACATGACACCCTCACTAGGGAAAGGGAAAAAGTACCAAAATAGCTGTTGGCCTAGACCATGGCTCACAGTTCCTTCTCCATCACACCCCTCACCGCCTCAGCAGTATTATCTCTCACAAGTACAAAAACTTCAGAAGAAAGGCGTGGTTCAGTTGTCCTTCCTCTTTAAGCTCAACAAGGGCTGAAGGAACCCAGAGACCTGGCAATAGCCCCACACTCAGCCCTCGGGTTATGTTACCACCATCCCCTTCCACCCAGATACTCTCTCTTACAGTTACCACCAACTCACAACCAAAGGAAGGTAGCAACTATACTTAAGGAAGCCTTCTGTAAAATAGGAGACAGTTTTATAAAGGGCAGGGCCAGCCCTAAACAGCAGGCAGGGTTCACTCACCGTACATCCGTACTGATAATGTACTGAGCACTCTGCTAAATAATCAATGCAAATACAAAGACAGATAAAAACAGTTGGAGGGGAGCATAAACAATACCTCCAATGAATATTATAAACAGAGGTATTTACAAAAGTATCACAGGGATATGAAAGCAAGTAATTCTGCATGAAAGACTATAATGGGGATTCCAGAAAAGAGATGACTTCTGACTTAAATCTTTAACAACTGAAATACTGGCAACAAAGAGAGCAGAGGAAAAGACCTTCATACTAAAAACAGTATGTAGAGAGGTGCCTGGGTGGCTCAGTCAGTTAAGGGTCTGACTTCAGTTCAGGTCATGATCTCACGGTTCGTGGGTTCAAGCCCCATGTCGGGCTCTGTGCTGACAGCTCAGAGCCTAGAGTCTGCTTCTGTATCTCCCTCTCTCTCTGCTCCTCTGCTGCTCTCACTCAGTCTCTCTCAAAAATAAGTAAGCAGTAATAAATTTTTTTTTAATTAAAAAAAACCAGTATGTACAAAAATATGGCACTATGAAAGAACATGACAAATCTGAAAAACAGTTCCAACTTGGGGATGGCATAATCACAGACTACTTAGAGAAGAGAGAAACAATATGGAATTGAAGGGTAAATAAGGGTGAAGCTTATAATTAGCAGTGAATAGCAGGCTAACGAGTTTAGGTTTTATCTATTGACACCCCGGAAACAAAAAAGATTTTTTAGACAAGGAAATGACAAGATCAAATTTGCCTTTAAAAATATGTCAAATAGAAGTATAATAAGGTGAATGAGACAGGCAGAAGGCAGATGAAATAAGAGCAGGATTAGAAAAGATAAATCTGATATTCACCTTTATCTTTGCATGTGCCATGTGATAATGAAATTATTTACACCTGTAATATCTCTGCCAATAATACCAAGCTCCTTCAAAAGGGACCATTATCATTCATTCTTTGCAATCACAGTGCCAACACAGTGCCTGGCATTCAAAAATACTTGTGGAACTGAACACTGAATTAAAACCAATTATAGCTAACATATATTGAGCACTTACAATGTGCCAGGCTTTTTTCTAAGTACTATATATATTAGCTCATTTAAATCCCATAAAAACTCTAGATGTACTGGTATCTCCATTTTACACATAAGAAAATCAAAGCCTAGAAAGGTTAGATTTACTGTAAAGTTAGCCAGCTAGTAAGCAAGACTAGAATGCAAATGCAGATAATCTGCCTCCACATTTAACCTAGCCATGAAGTAGAAGCAACAAGACCTGACAAATGAATGGAGGAGAAGAGAAGACTCAGATATGAAGTCTAAGAGATTCAGTAAAAGATAATGCTTAACAGGCAAGGAACACATAACAAAGGGAGGAGTGTTTTAGAAAAAAGGATGAATACAGTTTTGGATATGTTAAGCTTTGAGACACCTATAGAATATCCACGATGTCCAGAAAGCAAACAGAAATATTATACGTGAGCTCAAGCGTGAAATCAAGAATAAGGATATACATCCAGAAGTCAACAACTAATTGGTGATAGATGAAGCTATAGAGAGGGATGGAATCATCCAAAGACATCAGCAGATCCTGAAAGGAGCCAAGGGTAACATTCTGTGGAAAACCAGGAATTAGGAAAACAAAAGAAGAGGTGTTTTTGAAGACTGTGAAGGTAGCCAGAAATGGAAGGAAAAATCCAAGAAATAATGATAATCTAAAAATCAAGGAAAGGAAGTTTCAAGAAACTAGAGATTGCCATAACATATAGTCTACAGACAAAGTAGAATGAAGATTGAAAACAGTCAGTTTTAGCAATCTAGTTTTAGATAAACTTAGGAAAGTAACTAGTTAAAGAATGACCAAGAGCCAAAGAAATGTAAAATGCAATTATCTGGAAAGTCAGTGACATAGAAGGATGCAAACAAAGCAACAGCTTAAAAAAACTAGGAGGGGTTGGAGGTGGGAAGTCAAGAAAGAGTTTTTATTGTTTGGTTTGGTTTGGTTTGGTTTTATGGGGAGCCTCAAGGTTGTTTGTCAAGTGAGGAAAAGAAGTATGAAGAAAGTAACAGGTTGTGGATAAATACAATGGGGATAATAGAAAAATCAGGTATAGCACTAGTCTGAGAAAAAGAAGTATGTATACCATTTTCTCTGAGGAGGAAAATAGTAATAAAGGATGGGTGCCAGTTCAGGTAAATCTGAAATCTGAAAAAGGGAAGCTAATATCTACTACCACCCCACCACTCACCTAATCTTCTCTCACTCACTCACTCACCCAGGAGAGTCGGGGTGGGGAAGAAGAGAAAGGGGTGAGAAGGTGGTAGAGCCACAGAACAGATGCTCAGTCTTTCATACGTGGTTTCCTATAAACCATCAAACAGTCATACAGACTGGTAACTACCAGCAGCAGGGATGCACTGAAAAGGTACTTATCTGTCTGCCCAAGTACTGAAGATACCAAGTAAGCATGGGCTGGGGAGGGCAAAGCCAACAGTTGAGAATACTAATAAGAAATGTCCCCTTCTACTAGCTCTCTCACTATTATTAGCATTATGTCTTATTGGTTTCCTTAAACTCTGCCTATGCCCTCGTAAATATAATCCCTTTATCAAATTCTTCCCAAACCAAATGCGTTCAATCTGCCCCCCTGAAGACCTTGAATAACAGAAGAATATCTATTACTGCTTACAGAATGCTTTCTCAATCATAATCTCATCTGAGGACTGAAAACAAATAGAGGCCCTAACATCAAGTAAGAATAACACAAAGTAGTAGGTAAAGCAGGAGCTCTGGTGTTCCTCAAATAAAGGTTTGAATCCCAGTCCACCATTTTCCAGTTGTGTGACCTTAAAAAAAATCACCTCCCACATCAAAGCCTCAGTTTACATAAACTCCTGATGAAATAAGTGTTGTTACTGTTTTAAAAATTAAATAAGAGGGGCGCCTGGGTGGCTCAGTCGGTT